GAGGAGCCCGGGCTCGGACGTTGGGGACGCAGGCCTCCTGCTGGTGAAGGCGGCGCCCGAGGGTGCCCTGTGCCCACCCTCCTACGCGCGCTCTTGGCCTCCTTGCGGCGCTAGCCACCCAGCCCGAGCCTCCTGGCGCCGCCTAGTCCACGCGGAAGTCCCCGAGTGACCTGGGGGAGGCCCTCCCTCCCCACGCACGCAGATTCACGAGCCCGTGCGGAGCACGAGTGACGCGTGCTCGCCGGCCCGGCACCGGCGTCCCCTCCACCCTCCCGCTTCCTGTCCCCTCGCAGCCCAGCTCCTGGCCTCGCAGCCACGTCCCCTCCTGAGCCCAGGCTGCGGTGAAACCTGTTGCTGTGGCTCACGTTTCTATCCCCTCCCGCCGCCGCTGAAATGGCTCAGCGAGGCGTGCCTGTGGGAAGCCAGGGGTAAGTGTTAGAAGGGTAAGTGGCTCGGTGGTGGGGGCCGCGGTGGGTTTGGGGGCATCCAGAGACTCTCATCCCACCTCCTGGCAAGAAGACCCGAAGGAAGGGCGAGGCTGTGTCCTGTGGGGTGCGCCTACAACATTTGATGGCTTTGCTTCCTTCAATTTCTCTGGAATCCAAGAAACCTGTGCTGGATTTTTCAGATATGCACGGGTGGCCTCAGGTTGGCAGCTCTTTTTAGGAGGGAGCATTCTTGGAGTGAAAGGTACCAGCAGTTGGAAAACTTAGCTGTTCACAGAATGCCTTTTAAGGGCTAAGAATTTCCTGTGAAGGAACCCATCCGCCTGCAAGAACTGGAAACTAGGAAATGCCCTCCTCCCTGTGGTGATAATGAAAAAGAGCACTTAGCCCTACCACAGATTGGGAAAATCAGCCCCTGGACTTCCAGATTCAGGCTGTTACTAATTATTCCAGTGAATTCTGTCCAGCCTGGCATAGTGCAGATGGGGGACAGGGGATGCCTGGGATTCTTTAGCAGGGAGAGGCTTCCATCCTTACCATTCTTCTGTGCCCTTCTGGGGACTGTATATAGCAGGACTGCTTCCACTTAGGTAGTCCTGAGCTCTGAGCCTGAAAATTCAAGCTGTCCTTGTAGCTTGTCTAGAAGGAACAGTGGTAACAGGAAAAGGGGCTTTCTGGTCTGACCAGCTCTTCTGTAAAAAAACAGCTGATTGTAACTTAAAATATACTTTATGCCAACATCTGTAAACAACCTGCCTTTATAATCCAAATATGGTTTGATTTCAGGGTTGCTGCAGAGCCCCAGCTGCCTGCTTGGGTGTGGAGGTGGCCCTGAGAATGTTTAAAGAGCTGGGAACTAGAGAACTGCTCTTCCGTGCCCCTTTATGACCTCACAAGGCTTAGGTCAGGAAAAGTGTCTGCTCTGTGGCAGGACACAGGGAGACCAGTAAGCATTGGTGGACTGGGGTGACAGGGAGATTCCATTTTTATGCCTTAGGCCTCCCCATCTCCCACCCACTCTCCCTCCTGGGCACCTGCTTACTCCCCTGCCATCCAGATGGTCCATGTTGTGTTCGGGAAATGCAAAATAAGGCCTAAGAAAAACATTTGGCAAGGTAAATTCACTGCCAAAAAAGCATGGTATTTCAAAGCCAAATATAAATGTCTTTGAATTATCTGTATTTTCACATTATTATTTGACCAGATATTCCAGATCAGATGGGAAAGTACCCAGTTTCCCTTTCCTCTTCTCTTCATGCAAGGTGCTTGGCCAGACTACTTTCCATTCTGTTTCCAGCTTTCCATCTCCTGCCAAGAACCCACCCACTTGGGAACAGGAAGCCCTGCTAGCTCCTAGGCCCACTACAGTCTACAGCTCTGTCCAGCAGGATGGAGAGATGATTTGCAAAGTGATTGAAAGGAACATTTTCTCAAGTTAAAAGTTGAACGTCATAGGTACCAGTCAAGTGGGAGTCACCCCAGAGCCCTCTTGTTCCTGAACCTTCCCCATCCATCACCAGGTACAGGGTCCCTCTTGAATATCCACTAGCCCCTGCCCATTCTCATGCAGCCAGAGTGGCCTTTCTAACAATGCAAATCTGCTTTCTTCTCTCCCTTGCTCCATTAAAACCCCACAGAGCTCCTTCAGGGAACTGATGCCCACCACTGCCTCCAACTTCCTTTGGCAAATTTTAACTCAGCCAAAAAGTCTCAATGTAAATGTCACTTCCTATTGGGCAGCTCCTCTGATTCCTGCCACCCCCTGGGTGATTGCTGGTCCAGTCCACTAGACTCAGGCCACTCATATATATAAAAATACATGTATATGAAAAAAAGTTTTATGAAAATCTTACATCATAAAATCTTATTCTAATGTATTTAGAACAGAATCTAGTCATACCTCACCGTGGGGCTTTCTAACCCTTTGTGGGTCAGGGTTGTTAGGGTAAAAGATGCTCTGATTTCCACAAGGGCAGGGCTATGGTGTTTGTTGCTGAGTTTATGAACAACATTATCTAACTCATTTAATTCTCAAAAATCCCATGAGGAAGCCATTATTGTCTCCATCTACAGGTGAGAAGGTCAAGGACAGTGAGGTCAAGTAACCTGCCGAAGTCAAAATGCTAGAACAGTAGGTGGTGGAGCCAGTTCTAGAAGCTGGACAGTCACTTAGCCATGCGCTTCAGGTCCCTGGCCCTGCTGCATACAGAATTTTTCCAAGCAAAGATGTTAGGAGGCAACACCTCAGACTAGGTCTCAGCCTCCTGCCCTCCATTCTTGGGCATCTTACACCTGCAGAGAAGAAGCATTGAGGGCACCTTCCTCCTCAGCCCCACTGTGTTCCATCTCCTCCAGGGCCACCTAGCTCAGGAAGGCCCTAGAACTCCAAAGATGAAATCTCACATTGGATGAACTCTGCATTAAGTAAAATCTATAAGAAGGAAGCCACAGTGAGTATGGGTCTTCAATAGGAAACCATCCAGACTCATCCTGAAAGAGTAGAGACAAGATGACATTCCTCAGGATCAGTGCTGTTGATAGGATTTTAAGTGTGTACATCCAAGGAGTTTGAAAAGGTAGGAATAGATCTATTTGCAAAATTCCCAAACTAATTTTGAAATCATCAGCCTTGACTCTGAGCTTCCCTGTGCTGTGGCATTGAGAGTAAAAAGATATGGCTGGCAGAGGGCTTGCGTCTCATCTTTATTGCATGAACTGCATGCAGGTCGTGCCACATGCAGATGCTGTGTGAGAGTGACTGGAGTGAACTGTATATAGGATGTCTGGAATCCATCCCCCATCTCTGACCCAGCCTAGGACCACAGCTTCCCACGAAAGGGGCATGACTACTTGGCCGTGGTGTTTGGCAGATAGAATCAATTGGATGCCCTAATGGATGAAACTAGAAAATACAGCATAAAAATGGCCCTGAATAATCTTTTCATCATCATCCTTATTGAAAGGCACAGTGTATCCCTCTGCTCACTCAAACCAGGGTCTTCCTGTTAGCTACCTGCAACATTTCTTCTTTAATTCTACAGATACTGTGGCTTGATCTTCACTAACCTAAGTAGTGTGGTTTTCTTCTTTCTTTCATTTGGACAGAGCTGTACTTACATAGAGAAAATTCCCTTTAAAACACATGCACACCTTAAAGGTTTTGGTTCTGTAGCAAACTGTGAGATTGTATTTATTTCCTACGTTTTCCTCAATAAAACCAAAATGGTACTTAAGAGATGGCTCCAGTAATCTCTCTCCCAGACCTGAAACCAGGATGCCTGGCTAGAGGAACATTCCCCCCACTGAGGGAACTCACTAATAATGTGTTTGAGACCAGGATACCCCCCAGGCGCTGGGATGAGCAGCCCTTTGTGCAGCAGAGAAAAGTCAGTGCTGAGTGGACCTTAGCATAGGGCTACCCAGACCTGGCCTCTGCTGTGAACTACTCAACAGGACCTGCTTGGAGGGACCACCTGGCACCATCCCATGGCTGGAGATTTCTGTGCATTGTGTGGTATGCACAGGGCTCCACCAGGAAGGAATCTGCTGTGCTTTTCTTAGCAGAGTCATTCCTCAGATTGGATGACAGTGACAAAACTTCAACAACACAAATGCCCTCTTTTTCCAGAAGTTTTCTGCCATCACCTTGTGCTTTCCTATAGTTTCTAGCAGATCTTGAAAAAGCAAATGTGTGAGTACCCCTAGTTTCTTTTGGAGCTTTGTTGATGGGTATAGATTACATAAAAGGGCTTATTTAGGAGGAGCTGGGGAGCTCATGGGTGTGTTCACTGCAGGAACGTAGAAAAGTATCCGGAGAAGTAGCACAAAGCCCACATGCACAAGACCCCAGTAAAGATGAGCCACCTTGGAAATCCTGGGCCTTGTGCTCCTGTGTATTGTGCTTCTTAAGAAACACATCTTGCAAGTTGCTTTCCAAAATGAGCAACTACAAAGTGAGAACTCTTCTGGTCCCCTCTTAACATCACTTTGGAAGTGTAATGAAATGGGAAATAGCTGCTGGTCTTGTCCCATGGTGCCATGGGAAAGATGGAGGCAGTGTGGAGGGAGAGATGGTCCTCTCAAGAGATTTGGCCTGCAGTCAGGGCCACTGGCCTCATAGTAGAGGTTATTTCAACCTCAGAATCTGCTGGAATTTCATGGGCCATCACTCAGATACCTGCAGAAGCCAGAGAGATCAGAGAAGTGGACACCAGGGGTGCAGGGCCAGGTGACTGAACTGCAGGGCAGGCGTGGAGCCTTCCATGTTAGAATTCAAGACACCAGACAGCTGCCATCCCTAGTTATCCCAGCTGCGACTAGAACCCTGGGGCAGAGTTCTCATCTGTTGGAAAGCCAACACTAGAGACACCATGGGACTAGGGCCTGGCATCGCTACAATGCTCTGGCTCAGGCCAAAAGTGTCTCTATCGGCATGATGCCCCCGACTCCCACCAAGGTAGGGGTCAGCAATGGCTAAATATCAACCTTGAGGAGTGGGACCCCTTATCCAGTTCTTGAGATGAGGTTAACTAGATTTGTTAATTTTTAAGTAGAAAGATAATTGACCTAAATAAACTTTCAGAGTATCACAATAAAAAATGGTTCCACCAAAGCAGTTTGTGATGAATTTAAAAAATCACAAAGTACATAAGGGCTCTCAAAAAGTAAAAATGCCCAACTTCACTAGTAATCAAAGAATGCAATTTCAATTACCGTGAGGGGACAGATTTTTGTCCAGGTATTTAGAAATGACTGAAAACTGTAACACTCAGTGTCAGAACACACATGGTCAAAGGAACACTGATACAACTGCTGCTGGGTTTATAAACTGGTCACTTCACACTTTCTAGAATACTATTTGATAACACGTCTTAAAAATCTACACAGCTATGCCCAGCGACCTGTTATCAGTTCTGCAAGAGTTTGCGCGGAATGCCTGCTGCCTGCCGGGGGGAATGTGGTGGTAAAATAAAAAAAACCTT